GAGCAGCCACTGCACTCCAGTCTAGGCAACAGAGTGAGACTCCAACTCAAAAAAAAAAAATGCATTCACACACTCATAGAGATAAAAGACATGTAAAAGGTTAGAAAGCTATACATAAACATGTTAAGGGTGAAATTCTCTGGGTGATAGATTTTTGGACAGTTTTAATTTTTGTTCCCCCTGCTCATTTACATTTCTTTTTTTTTTTTGAGTTGGAGTCTCACTCTGTCGACCAGACTGGAGTGCAGTGGCCGCTCCCAGCCACCGCAGCCTCGACCTGCTGGGCTCCGGCGATCCTTCCGTCTCAGCCTTCCAAGTAGCTGAAACTTCAGGCACGCTAACACGCACAGCTAATTTTTTTATTTATTGTAGAGATGAGGTCTCGCCAAGTTGCCCAGGCAGGTCTCGAACCCGCGGGCTCGGGCAATCCACTCAACTCAGCCTCCCAAAGCATGGGATTACAGGCTGAGCCACCGAGCCCGGCTTCTTTTTTTTTTCTTTTTTTGAGTTGGAGTCTCACTCTGTCACCCAGACTGGAGTGCAGTGGCAAGCTTCTGGCCACCGCAGCCTCGAACTGTTGGGCTCCAGCGATCCTTCTGTCTCAGCCTTCCAAGTAGCCAGAACTACAGGCATGCACTACCATGCCCAGCTAATTTTTTATTTAGTGTAGAGATGAGGTCTCTCCAACTGGCCCGGGCGGGTCTCGAACCCGCGGACTCAGGCAATCTACACACCTCGGCCTCACAAAGCGCTGGGATTACAGGCTGAGCCACAGAGCCTGACCCTCATTTACATTTCAAATTTTTTCTTCAGTGATATGCTAATTATTGATATTTTTAAAATTCTAAAACAAAAACATTAAGGTTCAACCTAAGACAAGAATTGTGAGAGAAATCAGGGACTAGAACACATAACCTTTGCTTACACTTCAAGGTAGAATTATTCCTAGCATTTCCTTTCTTATGTTTTGACATGAGATAATCTTTCCTCACAACTACAGCTGGAGTTTCCATAGAATAGACAGCCCGGCAGACAGTTCTTGTAAAATCTTTCCATGGGAAACAGCTTTATTTCTGGTGAGTAAAGAAATCTTCCTGCCGGGCTCAGTGGCTCAGCCTGTAATCCCGCGCCTTTGGGAGGCTGAGGTGAGT